TGTGATATCAGCTGATCCAGAGTTCGTGATGGGGAAGTGATCACCAAATTTTTGCCGTTAGTCGAATACAATTAGCATAACTGGCATGCATTAAACTAGCCGGTATATGTGAGCTCACCACACTGACCGACATCAGCCCGGCTGAGTTCAAGCACACGTGATCGAACCGGATCGGTCAATATGCACATGCGCATGTGGCAAAGTCAAACGGAAATAGTGAAGTGATTCAAACAGTCTAAAACCGCATACATGTGCGAACTCGAGAAAGGGTGTGGGCGCGACCGATAGATCGAAACGGACCTTTGCTAGTGCCCATTCACCGTGGATTGGAAATGTAAAAGTTATAGTCTAGCATCGGTCATTGTTTATGAGAGGGTTATTGTGAACAAAACATTTCCGGTTGAATGAGGCTAATGATCCAGTTGCTTGTAACGGCAATTTTTATTGTTTCTTTTTCACTTTCTTGAACAAAACTTTTTTAGTGGGAAAATCAACATTTGTTGTTATTTGGCTGTCGTTTCAAATCAAGACCACAGTAGGTTCTCTTCTCCGACTAAAAATATAATTCATAAAATGATGTATATCGCACAACGAGCAAAAGTATGATGAACTATTAGGAGTTTAATCGTCAACGATCTCAAAAGTCACTTATACGTCAACATTTTCCTCATTGTACTTTCAAAGAGCCAAACGAGCTAAAACTGTCCTTTATCACATTACCGTTTTCACGACCCAGTGTATTAAATGCGTTTGGACAGCAGCAGGTGTAAACGAGCTTGACAACAACAACAAAAGTCCAGTTTGCGTCTTCCCAATTATCTGTCAGTGTGCATTTATAATTGTATTGAAAACGAAATGAGTTATATAAAATTGCATTTTGGAACGTGATAAGCAGTCACTTTATACTACACAAACATGTCATGCAGCATAAATAGGTGGTATGACATAACCACTATAAAAATAAGATATATTCAAGAAAGTACTGGTTTCTTACGTCTTGATGTATATTATTATTACTATTCTAATTACTATTGAAATTTCAATTAAAAACAACTTTTCACTTTATTCATATCCAAGTGAAAAATAACTTATTCTTTCCGAGGTCCTGATCGTCTGTCGACTGAAGGCTGACATGTACCTTCAAAAGGTTAATGAACTAAACTGGTAACATAATGTAGAATACGTCAGTCCCAATCGTTTACCAAGTTATCGGTTACGCACCATTATGACAGAACCGAAAGTTCGCATTTTTTTACAGCGTCAAGACAATGACGGTGATAGTGACAGTGTTTTACACACTCACACAACGTATTTGTCTTCTAGTAGTTTGGCAAATTCTGTGTACGTAAGAAGCAAATACCATGGTCAATCCGCTTTTGGAAGAATGATTTGTCATCAATATATTTCGGGCGCATGTTCGCATTCGGTTTGAAAATGTGAGTGTGATCATTGATGATGACGGAGTGTCGTCAAACCCTACTATGGTGGTTCAGGCGTGTGTATATGAGGGGGAGGTGGACATCACGAGGACATGCTGAACGATGACCTTCGATCACCTCGGTTCAGTAGCGTTCAACCCAAAATGGCATATGCCCCGTCATTTCTATCTAATTGAATATCCGTGCTGCTTGGCATCCATAGTAAAATGGGTATATTGGAAGTGTTTTGGCAGAAACTGGCAAGTTTGGTTGTTGACCAGAGTGGTAATGCAAGTTAAGTTTCAAGAAAACCGGATCAGCATTGCGTTTCACCCCTCTCGTCAACCGATCATAGAATACAAGGTTGATTTAATAGCCTTAGAGAAACAGATTAATATAAACACATTCTTGAGGACCTAAAATACTGTTGCGTTTTACATAAATGTCTCACTGAAATTCTCGATAAAATTGGCTGGGAGACAATTATGAAACAGAATTATTGAGAGATTGGTTCACTCCGTCTTCGGTGCGGATGCGATGTGCCAAGTGATAGTGTGTTTAGTGCACACGACACTTACATAAGTTATACCTCTTGACGCCTCCACAAATTGGTGTACACGTACGAAATGAAGCATTTCTTTACCGTTAATCACCTTTCTTTTGTGATTCCTTATCAGTTAATCGACCTCGGGACACCCAACAGCCATCAGGAATTGAATAAACCCTATCCACATTGGGTTGCACAATTGTGGTGAATGAACGTGTACAAGCATACAAATGTGTCTAAACATGGAAGTAGACGGTCAAATCCACCAGCCCCATCAAAATCCCCCACACCATCATCAGCAACATCAGCAGCAGCATCACCACCACCAATGAATCACAAGACAAAGCCTCTATATTTCTAAGTGTATCAGAAACTTGAAGAATCCCTGAACTCCACAGAGATCACAAGGGATGAAAATACAAGCATACTGAATCCATAACGCGATGCATCCAGGAGCTGAGCGTCGAGCATGTAGCCGCGAGATGTGATTTTCGTCCTTCAGCCCCAAGCTTTGTAATTTCAGTGTCGCTGAGAAATAAGGCTTTGCAGAATCACTTGTCCAGCGTTCTTCTGCTGGGTCTTCATACGAATTGTTTTAAGAAATTTAGATTTGATCCTTTATCCAATCTCGGCTGGTGAATGTCGGCTTCTTGCAAGAAACGTGACTCATTGTAGCTTGTGTACTTGAACTTTCAATTGACAGCAAATCTTTGAAATCCTACTTTGACCTACTGACCGTACATTCAACTTTGCTCAACCAATCCGGGAATACAGGTTACCGTATACACAAAAAAGAAAAATGGACAAAGGACTAGTCAAAACTGTACAACTGTCGAAGCGTATCCATGAGCAGCATCAGATCCGGCTGACAATTCAATCACAGACCTTGGAAATGCAGAATTTACATAATTTAATTAGTAACCTAGTTGATAAGAAAAAAGGTAATTACTTCAGCTTTCCGCCTTCGTGTAACATGATGCTTTGAACTTGCACATATGCTTCAATAATAAAATAAAATGAAACTGCTCACCAGAAAGAATAAATATAAGTTACAGCACACTATCTTATGATGGATGCCATCAGCGGTCACTAAAGGGGAACACCAATATCTAATGATCCCCGCTAAAAGCAGTACAACCGGGAGTTGAACAAACATTGTCAGATTGACATTGATTCATGATTTTCAACGACTTACAGAAATTCGACATACAATGTTTATTAGCATAAATATAACTATTGTGAGTTTAAGCACAAACTTTTTCTGAGAAACATGACCCTTTTCAGGATTCGTGCCGCTTCTAATCCGGTGTTCCTCTTTCCATTAATTCGCAGTGACAACCAAATCAACTGTCTCGTCCACCAGACGAACTGTAATGATACCGAAATTTTGTGAGGTTCCCAGAATAATGCATTGGGATTAAGTGGTACCAATAAATCTTTATTTGATTAGTGAACGAAAAAATCGTTGAATTCAAAGCATAAAATCCCGCAGTATTCTTTCTCTGTTAGAACTTTTGATCGTATCGTAATGCAAGGATAGGGATGGACAAACTTATTACCTCGGAAAGCCTTGTCAGTGCATCGCGATACAACGCGATATTGTGAGAGGCTTTAGTGAACTTGTTTTAAGCAAGTCGCGAATCTTCAATTTGAGGTTCCGTTTTGATCGCCGGTTGCGTTTAATTGATATGCACCAGACACTAAGTTAAACATCCGTGGCTGTTCTATCCATGCCCAATTCTGGAGGTAGTCCGTTTTATATTTTATCGTTCAATGTTTTCGAGCTAAACCTTTGCTTTCCTAACAATATCACTTAACAATTAGCTTTTATGTCATTCCTGTGTTCGTCCATAAATAGAACAATACATGAGCACCATTTGATAGTTCGTATACAGCACCGAGGACTGTGCTCCAAACTATGTCAGGGTCGTCCTGTCTCCATACGTAAGAACTAAGCGATTCGTGATGGATTCGAACGTGTACTGCAATTTTGCCACCAAAATACCTTGTCGACAATAGTTTTATAATTTCCAGCTTTTGAATTTACTTCGAATGAGCTGATTTTAAAAGCAAGCTTCAAGAATGAAGAACAAGCTGTTTTAATTTCAACGTGGAGCGACGTACACGCTTCTACCTGGTTAGGAAATATAAGTTCATATGCTTTTTGAAAATATCATGCAGGTTTGAGACCAATTTACGCATCGATAATCACATTATAATTTGTTTTTGGATATATTTGACTAGTTTGGTTGTCTGTGTGCAACATTTCATCCATCAAACTATCGGAAGCATACAAAAGCCACATTTTTGGAAATAGAAGAGTTGTTGTTGACATAATGCACTAATATCCATTAGGTCTCTCGATGTACATATGCTGTGAAATTTAAATTAGATCAGTTTTGTCTGCTGTTCACTTCAAAACAAACATAAACGACTTCACTTTTTGTCATTTTAAACCCAGAAGTTCTGATCTGATCGTTTAATCATCTGTTTCTGTTGCTGAAATTATGGTCAATAGGTTCATTTTGTAAATGCACTTTCTTCTGATTGGTGAGTGATTTCAACCAATCAGAATGCGCTGTGCGTTAGGAAAACCATCCATAAAACTCAGGTTTTCGTTTAGACCCGCCGTTATTGTCTATGTGTAGATACACGCTTGAACGCATTATTTGTTGACCTGCTTTCGAAAAGCAGGGAAAGTCCTTTCGTACACTGTTCAAACAAAGCACATGTATTCACCGGTGAAATTTGCCTCAACTGCTTGCACCTCATCCTTTCGCTTGCGAACACTAAACGATTTACCCTCAACAATTTTAGAGGAATCTAAATTCGTACAATCACATTATAAAGATCATGGAGCTTTTCACAGCTGGAAGCCAATAGTCATTCTCATCCTATGCCTGATTGTTGTTTTAACCGTGTTCGGGAATGCTTTAATTTGCGTAGCGGCGTCACACAATCGTCATCTGCGTCATCCATCCAATGTGTTCTTTATTGCATTGGCCATCACAAATTTATTGTACGCCTGTACAGTGATGACATTCAATATTGTTTATAACAGTTTCCACGTGCACTTATTCACGGACCTGGTTTGTGTTGTGTTTCAGTCGTTGGATATTCTCTTCTGTACGGCCTCGATCCTTCACCTGGCCGCGATCGCACTCGATCGATTTGTTCACGTACATTCTTCTGTGACTTACTCACGCAAATTTAACACAAAAATTCACTTGGTAGTTATTCTATGCCTATGGATGCTAAGCGCATTAATCGCATTTCTCCCGTTGAAGTTCAACTGTCATCGACCGGTTCGAGGTGATTGGGACGCGAATAATTCACAGCAGTTCACGCCCACGCGTGTTGAACACCTATGTCATCATCATGTGAATCTAACCTGTGCTCTGATCAATGCAACCCTGAGTTTCATTTTACCTCTTATCTTCATGATCATTGTGTACGGGAGACTGTTTCAAATTACACGTCAGCATTTGAACCAAATCAAATCACAAAAGCCGTCTGTCGATTTGATTGTTGAACGAGAAGATAGCAGTTTGGATAAATTAGGCTGTGAGGCTGGTCCATCACCCGATCAGAGTTTGAACAGTCAGGCCGTTTCGTCATCCAGCTTACGTGGTAAATTCTATTTGGAACCAAATGAGGACGCACCGGAATTCGAAACAAGCACACCGAACGTACGGCATCACTCAGATTGTAGCCAGATGGGTAGTCGAGGCAACCAACGGCTCAGTCGATCCACAAACGATGCAAGTTTGCCATTTTGTACGACAAACTCATGGACAAACGGAACGCGTGTTTACAGACAACGAAATAGCCTGAGTGTTCCAATTCGATACCCGGCACGTGCGGGGAACGAAAGTGTGCGTTCATTTGGTATGTTCGGAAGAAGTTTGAAAGAACCCACAATGAGTATGATTATGCGAATGCGCGCTGCCACACACAACGAGCATAAAGCGGCAATCACCTTGGCTGTGATATTGGGATCGTTCATATTATGCTGGATGCCATATTTCTTCATCAACTGCTTGGCTGCAATGTGCCATTGTATACGAAGTAAGTAGAATTCGTCAAAGTAATCTTTTTCTTTTTTCCCTCGGTCAGTTTCCGTGTTTTTTGAGCAAAAGCCATTGACCAAAATTAAATGTGTTATTTTGATGAGTTCATCAAGAACTTGGTTCTCAGAGATATTTAGCCCACTGGATGTTTCCACTTAGAACCATGTGTTGTAAATTTTGTGGGAGTCTATTTGGGCGTAAACAGCAAACACAATCGAAGCTAGTTCCATTTTTGCCGTGAACCACCTAATTGGAACAGCTCGGAACGTAGTGTAAACACTATGCAACTCCGCTGCCCCCGAGTGACCTCAAATCCATTTTCCACTTTGTTTTCGTTTCGCATTGGTCAGTGTTTCACACACGTGATGCGGTTTGTTGTCTGCAACTGAACTGCTCGACTCCCGATAATGGGGCGGTTTATTTTATCTAATCATTACACATCAAACTTTAGTTCTACTATGCACACAGATGCTCGTAATATGCTATTTTTGAGATATTCGAATAAATTACCAATGCTTTATTTTTACTATGTATGACTGATTCTACTTATGTTTGTAATTTCACAGGTGGCATGTGTGGTGAAACATATTATACTGAGTTTGAGGTGAATGCACAAATGCAAACAAAAATTCAAACAACAGTGACGGAAACCATATTCGNTAATTAAGACCATTAGGAGTGACACTAAACGTTCTCTCACGGGGTCTATAAACTAACATACCTGGTTGGTAAAAAAGGGGATATGTTAACTCTGGTGAATTCCGATTACATATGAAATTACCATTATCATATGATTTTCCACAAACAGAAACGGTGCTAACGGTCGCGAAATCAAATGTCTTGCGGTGCGTTATTGTAAGTAGCAAGTGAGGACTACACGAAAACCTTGTTCCTCCCTGCACCTCCCCCCCCGAAAAAAAATGAAGTCTTTTTGAAAAATACAGATTGACTTTGATTTTGATAACGGCATACGATACCGGCTCTAATACTCATTTATATATGAAATATTCAGAACGGACTGATGCTATCACGGTGCACCCAAACAGGGTTCGAGGTGAAATCGATTACCAGATACTCGTGCACGGTATTTCAACTGCAGGTGACCACAAAAGAAATAGGTGACTCGTTGTGGCTGGCGCGAGGTAGCAACGAACCTCGAGCTATCTGATAAACTTGGTATGTGAAACTACCGAAACAAGCGCATACCTTTATTATTCTATGGTTCACCTATCCACTAGGGCTTCAAATGAAAGCCGGACTAACACCGGTTGCCAATGTGAAACTGAAACGAAACCGTTTGCTGAAAATGAAATCTTCACCTTATTATTAGAAATTCATCACCGGCTCGGAAAACGTTTGTTTTCTTCAATTTTTTCTTGGCGTATACATTTACATGAATAATTGCAAATTACAATAAATAAATTGCTTGCCGACGGATGGATGTTGAGCGTAACAAACCAGTGTTGGAACAGTGCGCATATAGTGGTTTGAAGAAATGAATTGAAGTAGTTGTTTCATTGAATAAGGCATAAAGGTAAAACGAGAATTGCTCAATTCTGACTGTGATGGTGATCAATCACCCGAATAATAAACAACTACAGGCAACATATGTGCCTGTCTGGGAAATCATTATGACCAAGACCATCTTTCACACGGCCTTTGTGTCATTTAAGATCAGCTTTCCTAAAATTAAAGCAATTTGTGCTCCCTCCCTAAACCAGACTGGAATCTTCTGCTCAATCCCTTCAAATTCCCCCCGGGAACGCATTTCTGTCTACTACACGGTGGTCTATCCACGTGGTTGTATTCCTGTTCCCTGCCCCACTAAAATTCTATTAAATATCTTAATGTTACTCTAAGCAAAACCTTCCACTGGACCTCACAGATAAAAGGTTATTTGTCAAAATGCGTTATCTACCTGTTCAGATGCGGAAGCAGCATCATTTATTTATCCGCGGAACTTTTTGTTAATCACCACACCTTCTCCATCATTTTATACGAATTCTCTATTGTTTTCCTGGTTTACTTAAAAACGCCAAAAAACCTTCGCCGCATTTGACATCTATTTCTTGCCTTTTCGCCATCCTCCTAAAAGTGTGAGTTGGGTGTGACATTCATGGCAGCGCTTTCAAGAAGTTTGGTGTAAAACGTCTCAAATACCATTATTAACCGATACACTTCAAGTGTTCTGGTTGTCCAGCGCATTAAATATCGCACCTCGTTTAATCATAAGCTCTAATAGGATCTATTTTATGAGAAAACGTCCAGTTCCTAACTTAAGCTGTGGTTTTATGAACAGAGACAAAACAGACAGGGCATTGGTTTTAAACTGTCATGTGTGAAACGATTTTTCACCTGGTCTGCGGTTATTCTATTTCAGTTATTGTTCACGCTGGTGCGCTGCCAGTGTGTATTATCTACAAAAATATAAGTATAGAATTTAAAAATTTCATGCTATCACAATAATCATCCGATCGGAATCAAATGGAAGACACAGGTGTTGAATCACTGCCCCCAAAACTGCTCACCCCCACCCTGAGTTGACTTTTTCGTGTGGGAGTGGTGTAAGTTTCATTCCATCACATACAAATGACAAGTCGAGGCAAAATAAATGTCCATGATTGTGCATCGGGTACAAGAGTGAAACCGATTGTTATTGTTGGTGGTGGTGTTCATCAACTATTCACATACTAATCGATGGAAACCAAACGTTTAAAACATAATTCCAACAAAAAGCACTTGACAATTTCAACGTTGTATAGTGCCGTATTTTACGAAATTCCAGTCTAAACACAGGTTGGCGGGCGGGGCCTTTGAATTTGGCCGTGCCTTGTTTTCGTGGAATATTATTTTCGTAAAGTTA